CCCCAGGTTCCTTAAGCTTGTCCCTTCCTTTCACCTGTGCAGGTCAGTCCTATTCTGCTCCCAAGCAGAGTTGTTCCGACGACCTGATCAGTAGCAGTGGAGAAGGTGTGTCCGACCTCCGTGTGTAGCTGCACGTGGTGTTATGTCAGATTTGAACATCAACAAAAAGAAAAAGGGCTTACCAATTAACTACTCCACTAATCGCACATGAAAAACTAACTATTCAGCAATAAGGCTCAAACACAAGAGACTCACAAGGAAACCTGCTACTTTACTCTTATGTTTCTTCTCAATATGTGTAGCGAACCAGGGGTCTATTAGTACTAAATTCATATCATCATTTGTTTTGAATATCAAATTCTCCACTACCCTCCTATAATAGAATCCAAATTCTTAAAATAGTATAGCTTTGTTTGACGTGGTTCAATTTTATGCCGGAACTTGTGCATATATTTCCTATGAAGGTATTAGTACTTAATTCCAAATCTAGATGGATTTCTGTTCCATATTGATTGCTTCACAGGGCTTCTAGAATTCCACGTCAGATTTCTTGGTAAATAATGAAATGCTCTCGGGACAATTATCTGTCTCTATGATAAGTAGAAACCACGGAGTTGGATCCACAATGTCCAGGGACATTTGTTTTTTATTATTTTGTATGAACAAGGTTGTACAGGATAATCAATCTTCTTCTTTACAGAATCCCCTCTATTGCAAATGCAAAGAATAGTTGAGAGTTGTCACGAATGATGAAATTTGGAATGAATTTTTTATTATTTGTATAATCGGTATACACACTTATATAATACATGGCTAGGTGCTAAATAATAACTAACAACAACAAGCTTTAATCCCAACTTAATTGGGGTCGGCTAAATCAGAACAATATATCTACAAATATCTCTAACCAGAAAATATACAGCTCACCAAATCCTTAAAAATCAGGGATCACACAATCACATAAAATCTCTTCTTATTATTAACCGTATCTCACAACACTCCCCCTCAAGCTAGTGAATCGATATCTTCCATTCCAAGCTTGCTGATAGTATTCTGGAAGTACATCAGCTAACTGGTCTTTGGTTGAAACAAATGGAGTACAGATTAAGCCGCTTTCCAACTTCTCCTTTATAAAGTGTCGATCGACTTCAATATGTTTTGTTCGATCATGTTGTACTGGATTATGTGTAATGCTTTTGGCTGACTGGTTATCATAATACAATTTCATTGGTCCTTCCCACTTTACACGCAGATCATCCAGAATTATTTTGATCCACAATAGTTCACATATTCCAAGCGCCATTGACCTAAATTCTGACTCCGCACTTGATCTCGCCTCCACACTTTGTTTTTTACTCCTCCATGTCACAAGATTGCCACCTAGAAACATGCAATAACCCGAAGTTGACCTTCTGTCAACTAAAGAACTTGCATAATCTGCATTAGTGTAGGTATCTAGTGTCACGCTTTCTCCTTTCTTGAACAGAATTCCTCTCCTAGGATTACCCTTTAAATATTGTAGAATCTTGTGTATAGTCTTGAGATGCATTTCTTTGGGATTGTGCATAAACTGACTAACAACGGTCACAACAAAGGCAATATCTGGTCTCATATGTGCCAAATAAATTAATCTCCCAACAAGTCTCTGATAAGAACTTCTGTCTACCACGGTGTCTTCTTGAGCATCACATAACCCATGGTTGAACTCGATGGGTGTGTTAATTGGCTTACACCCTAGCATTCCATTCTCCTTCAATAAATCTAACACATACTTTTGTTGTGATATAAATATTCCCTATTTTGAATGCGCTACTTCAATACCTATAAAATATTTTAACCTTCCAAGTTCTTTGATATCAATTCCTTTTCCAGACACTTCTTTAAGCTTTGCATTCCTTCTAAATCATTGCCTGTCACTATAATATTATCTACATATACCAATAATGTTGTCACTTCCCTTAACTTCGAGTGCTTCACAAACAGGGTATGATCTCCTTGACTCTGTTTATATCCCAATGATGTCATCACTTTTGTAAATCTCCCGAACCATGCCCTCGGTGACTGTTTGAGCCCATATAGAGCCTTTTTCAACTTGCACACCATTCCTTCTTTGGATTCAAACCCCGGAGGAACTTCCATGTAAATTTCCTCTTCGAGATCACCATGTAAAAAAGCATTTTTAACATCAAACTGTTGCAAGCTCCATTCAAAATTAGCGCCCAATGACAGAAGAACCCATACCGTGTTCATTTTTGCAACCAGGGCAAAAGTTTCAAGGTAATCTATACCATAGGTTTGAGTGTAGCTTTTGGCAACCAACTTGGCCTTATACCTCTCCAAAGAACCATCTGACTTATACTTAACAGTGAAAACCCACGTGCATCCTGCTAACTTCTTTCCATCGGGTAACCTGACCAAGTCCCATGTTTTATTCTTCTCTAGAGCTTCCATCTCCACTTTCATAGCATTCTCCCACTTCTCATTTCCTTATGCCTCTTATAGGTTTCTGGGAATGGGAATTGTTTGTAGGCTACTCAGGAAGGCTCTATGACTCGGGGATAGGTTTTCATAGAATATGAACAGGTATAATGGATGGTTTGTGCAGGTTTTGGTTCCTTTTCTAAGGGCAATTGGTAGGTCATAGTCATTTGGTTCAACAGATTCCTTAGGACCCGGTGACTGTGTGGTGGTCTCGGCAAGGCTTGGTGGTGGTGTGGCTATTTTGGCAAGGCTTGGTGATTGTGTAGTGGTTTCTGCAGCACGGACAGGTGAGGAAACAACAGCTCGAATAGGTGATTGAACATAGATTTCCTTTTGCTTCCTGGAATAAACATGTAATGGCCCAGTAGTGTTTTGAGCTGGTATTGACTCGACAGATTTAGGTTGGACAGGAACAAGAATTGACTCAATTGACTCAGTGGATGGCTGCTGAACAGACTCGGTGGACTGGGATTGACTCGGAATAGCGGACTGAGATTGACTCGGAATATCAAGAAGTAACAAGTCTCTTTCC